CAGCAGATTGACACTTCTGCTTAATTTTGTGCCGTCTGCAAATTTACTGAGGGTACCTTCAATTCCCTCGTCCAGGTCATTGATTAATATATTAAACAAGACAGGTCCCAAAACTGAGCCCTGAGGAACACTGCTTGTGACTGGTCGCCAACTGGATCCCACTCTGTTCACCAGCACCCTCTGGGCTCGGCCATCCAGCCAGTTTCTAACCCAGCAGAGAGTCCACCTGTCTAAGCCATGAGCCACCAGCTTCTCCAGCAGAATGCTGTGGGAAACGGTGTCAAATGCCTTGCTGAAGTCCAGGCAGACAACATCCACCACCTTGCCCTCATCCACTAGGCGGGTCACCTAATCATAGGAGGTCAAGTTGGTTGAACAGGACTTGCCCTTCATGAATCCATGTTGGCTGGGCCTGATCCCCTCATTGTCCTGCACTTGCCGTGTGATCACCCTCAAGATGAACTGTTCCATAATCCTTCCCGGGACCGAGGTCAGGCTGACAGGCCTGTAGTTCCCCGGATCATCCTTCCTGCCCTTCTCGTAGATGGGTGTCACATTGGCAAGTTTCCAGTCATCCGGGATCTCCCCAGTTGACCAGGATTCCTGATAAAGGATGGAGAGAGGCTTGGTAAGTTCCTCTGCCAATTCCCTCAGCACTCTCGGGTGGATCCCATCTGGCCCCATAGACTTGTGGGTTTCCAGTTGGCTGCAGCTGCCCTACCTCTCATCAAGGTATAAACTTGTTCAGAAACCCAAAGTGTGTTTCTAAATAGTTCTTTCAGCTTCTCCAGTTTGCCAGCTGCTTTTACTCTCCTTTTCCAGCTGGTAGTCATGTTACTGAGCTTCCTCCATTCTGCTCTTTGTTAACAGATACTGTGTACTATGGTTTGTTAACATAGGAGTTGCTCAATCCACAGAACTCCATGGCTTCTTCATGAAACATATTCTGCTTTCCCATCTGACCGTGATTCATCTCAACTGACATCTGACTTCATCTTTTTTGCATTAAAAAGGATACAAATATGGCACCAAAAATGAATGTATACATTATGCTATAGCTTAGAAGAGGTGAATCTTCTCTTACCATGACTCAGTCACCATACTCAAGCTGCTAGTAGCTGATGCCCTTTCTCTGTGTGGCAAATTACAATAGCCTTTGCAGGAATTCTATGTTTTGTCCTTCCAAAGAACCTACCCTTTTTGAGCTGAAGAGTTGAAAGTAGTAATCTAAAAAAACAGCACCAAGGCTTAGGCTATCCCTGCAAGCATCTTTCACTTTAATCTGAAGCTCCAGTCACTAGTGTTTCTCTAAGCATTCAACCAAAATGCTATGATCCACAAGTTGTTACTAGCCATGTATCTGCCATGTACCTGCAGCGGCAAATAATCACTACTGACTGATCTCCAGGTGGACCTTGTGCTGCTAATCACAACTATGTGATCCCAGCAGCTGAGGCACTTCTCAGTCCACCGCACTGTCCAATTATCTAGCCTGAACTGCAACAGGATGGCACCATATGCGCACCACGGATGGAAGCCATGAGGCTTCCTCAAATTGTCTGAAGACCTACACTAAATCTTCCTAATCAGATTGTCTGTAGCAGACTTGCATAACAACATGCTGATGTTGGTCTGTCCACTAATCCAAACTTAGTTCTCAGCTGTTTCATCATCCATCCCCAAGAAGAGCTTCATGCACTGCCAGTGCTCTCTCACATAAAGGGCAACTCAACATTCCCAACTCACAATCATAAAATCACAGAATGGTTGAGTTTGGAAGGGACGGTATTTCTAAAAAACATGTAGTCCACCCCACCTCCACAGGCAGTGACATCTTTCACTAGGTTCACCACTCACTGCGGGTTTCCACTTTGATACTGAGCCATTGACTACAACTCTTTGGACATGTCCATCCAGCCAACTTGTTATTCATCTAACAGGTCATTCATCAAACCCATATCTCTCTAATATAGCAGCAAGAATGTTGGGGCAGGCCATCTCAAAGGTCTCACAGAAGTCTAGGTAGATGACGTCAGTAGCTTTTCTCTCGTCCACTGGCGTGTTACTCCACCACAAAAGGCACAATTTGCCCTTGGTGAAGCAATACTGGCCACCTCTAAATATGTTCCTATATTCCATCTGTCTTAACACATCTTCCAGGAGGATCTGTTTCACAGTTTTACTGGCACAGAGGTGAGTCTGACTAGTCCATAGTTCCCAGCACCCTGCTTTTCACTCTTTTTAAAAATGAGCATCCTTCTTGAAGATTAACCTGATTATCAAATATAATAACTTCTTTGCAAGATAATACCTTTCCTATAGGAATCACAACAGATGTGCATACACATGCATGGGCCTGTAGTAGGATAGGTGTGATGGCATTTATCTTCACCCAGAGGCCACTGAAAAAAATGGATTACTCATGCATGCGTTTAAACTACATGCAGCATTAGTCCCTGAGCTAGTGAAATTTTCTTTAGTGTTTCTCAAGCATGAAGTATCCATATGAATCACATAACACTAAAAACACAGCACACCTCCTTTCCCTGACCAGAGCATTACGCTACAGCCTTCCACATCCAGGACACTCTAAGAAAAACAAGATCCTTTAAGAAGTTTACAGCAACAGGGAAAATTCACTTTAATACCGTGCAAAAAATCTATCATGACTTGGGTCTACATCCACATTACTGAGACTCTCCATTACTGAAAGGAGAGAAGGTCATAATAGATGCTTTTCCCTCAAACCTCCTTTCCAGTAGGGTAGCACCTCTAATAGCAGTTTGCAGTCACAAGCAAGTAGCATAAAAGTTTCTCACGCTTCCATCCTCAGCAATTTTTACTTCATTTCTAAGACCTACAAGTTGAAATTAAGCTGTTCCCAGAAAAAAATAAAATTAAAGATAAAAACAAGGAGCTAGTAGAAAGCTCATTCTGTTTCACTACTGCTTGCAGAAATACTGCTGGATGGAGCTTTGTGTTGGAATTTTCAGTAACACAGCCATATCCTGAACTCTGCCAACTGGGCAAGTTTCCTCTCTTAACACAAATACGTTAAGTGAGGAAATCTGTGCAGAAAAAACAAATCAGAATAGAGAAAGCATGCGTCCTACTACTGACCTGTTGCTACTACAAGCAGCATTTGTTTTGTTAGACTCTTGGACAGGGTTTAATTATGATTAGAAGCTGTGATGTTTAAAGATAATTAATTCTTGACCTACACCGATCATCTTGCTACATTTTACGTTGTTATTCACCTTAATTATTCATAGCTGTAACACTGCTCTGCATTCTCAACCAGTTATTTTAATGATTCAACAGATTAAAAATCAAGTGACAAGGACTTCAAGCTTCAGAGTCACTTTAAGATAACATCTAATGCCCATGGTAAAATATTCTCCTTCATATGCTGACTCATTTTTTTTCCCAATTACCATATTAACTTGCCTACTTATACTGCAGTTTGTATCATGCTTCATAACAAATACTACATTTTGCTAGGTTTGGTTTTTTCCACTTATGTTTTACTCTTTCCTCCAAATACTCACACACGTAGATACACGCACACATATGTGTATTTTTAATAAGCAACTTGGCAGTTCTCTGGGTTCTATCTCCAAGTACATTCATACATAAAAATAAAATCAAAATATAACTTACCTTAAATCATTTTGCAGCTTTAGCTAAACATTCTTTCTATTTAAACTAGAAAATTCACTCTATTCTGTCATTCCTTCAAATAGCTCAGGATCAGTGCCCTGTGAAGGATATCTCACAAATAGCAGATATGAAACTATGAAGACTTAACTACACTGGCAGTTTTACGTTAATCTTACTCTTTCATCATTATTTCTACACTTTCTGCCTACTAGAAGTAGTAGTCATTAAATAAAACTTTATTCAGTAGCAGTGTGCAAGAGTAGGTTTGGTAGAGGCAGAACTCAGTGCCATTTCTCTGAACGCTGCTCTCAACTGAATAGCTAATTTGCAGTGTCATGCTATACTCTTAAACCTAAAAGTCCAAACTGTGTCAGAAACAATTCCCTTTTGTACACGTACGTTTCTCATTTAGCTGCTTTACCTTTTTCATACGCAGGTGTATTCTCTTGCAGAAGTCTGCTGAGCTGGAAGCCATTCAAGTGCACAAAACGTAACTGTTCCCTCATTGTCTTGGCTTCCACAACTGGCAATATAAGGTTCCCAACACTGTTTCTTGAAATTGGTAGACCAAGACCTACTGCCAGCGTGCTAGCTAAATCAGTTTGTTGTACAACTTCAGGTTGGGTTAGAGGACCTAGAATCAGTAAAAAAGGGAAGAAAAAAGGAAAAAAAAAAGGAGAGAGGGAAAAAAAAAATATTTCAATAACATTCTGTTTCTCCAGAGACAGCTGGCATCTTGTTAATTTTAAAATGTTTTCATTGCTGTTAAATCAGCTATTTTAAGTGACCTACAAAGCACTGGGTGACCTTTTTCAGCTGCTGTCCTCTGCTGCTGTAAAACCAAAATTTGTTAAATTCCCAGCAAGTACTGTTCTTCAATGCTAGCAACTACTGTAAACACAACATGAATGTTATATAAGTACATGTAAGGAAAGAGAAATGGTCCAGGAGATCACCTTAGTATCAAGCTGTAGCCTATATCCTAAGAGGGTTTGATAATTTTGACATTAGAAAGAACAGAAGGCACTACAGTAGACAAATTTAATGCATAAACAAAGAACGACAATCTGAAATAATGCTTCCAGCATTCCAGAAGCTTCAATATAATGACAACAGCTCAAGATTTAATTAATATCAAGTTGCTAGGCAAATAGAATTAGAGCTCAGGTAAAGAATGTTGAGGCCCAAATTCATGGCTTCACGCAGGTAAACCCAGTGATTTTTCAAGGGTTCTGTGCAGGATCCCATTACTTTACTGCAGTTACTGGGACCAGCCTTCTGTCTCACAGACTTTTACACACAGGAAGTATTTCACTAACATAAATAACCTTTTGCTTAAGACTGTCTTGCCTTTTTTTGTTATTGTGTGCTTTACTAGTTACATAACTGCTTTTCTACTATGATTTTACTTCATTCTCTTTGTAATTCCATGCACTGAATGTTTTGACTTAAAGTACAGTAAAGAAAGAATTCTATATACAGTATTAGTCTCAAGGCTCCCTTTAAGAGCATTAGAACTTCTCTCATTTCTCATCTAGCTCTGATTAACCCTATGCTTGTACAGAATGCCATCTATAATCCCTAAAGCCTCTTTGCAAGAGTGCCTGCATGTCAGCAGTTTTCAGATTTCATCTTTAAAGGAAAATTCTTAACTGGTTAAAAAAAAGGCAAACTACCAAATGCATTAAGTCAACCACGGGTGACAAATCTCTACAGAAGGCTACACAAGTAATACGCTGATAGCATACTAAATGCAAAAACCCTCAGGATTACTATTTGAGGTCTACCAAATTAACCACAGTATACTTTGTCTACAGTAGGATCATAAGGAGCAGCCACAAACTTGATCCCAAAAGACAGGTGAATTTTCCCGTATTGTAAAAACTACATGTTCAGTTTAATCCTAACCAAAACTAATCCCAATAAAAAAGCAATTGCATTTACAAAACCTACACTCATGCAGCCTGGTTGTCAACACATACCTGTGAAATAAATAGAGCAAAAACTTGTCTGAGAGCTTTGGTCAGCTCTTGGCTTTTGGGGTTTATACCCAAAGAGTTCAACAACTCCGCAAGTAATGTTTTCTGTTGGCAGCTGGGCATCAGCTTTATAAGTAACAGACATAAATACACTGCCACTGTGCTGCAGGAACTTCTAGCAAGAAAAACAAGGCAAGATTCTGCAAATAGGCTCTAACCTCAAGGACATCAGATGGAAATGAGCAAAAGGCAGAAGGAGAGGCAGAGGGAAGCAATATTTTGAAGAAAATATCCACTCCTGGTATAACTGTTTCACCAATTTACTCACTCAAGGAGATTATTTAACCATGACTCTAAAAATCAGACTAAAGATTCCCAACCACACCACTCCCTTCTTGCCTCTTACCTTAAGCTATATTATACAAGTAGAAAATGAGTTTCAGAAACAGATAAACTCACATCCATGACTTAAAATTAACTGTCTGTCCATTACAGTAAATACACCCACATTTCATATTCTTTCCTTAATGCTTAGATTGTAATATTCATGTTTTCACTACTATCATCTTTAACTCTTGCACAAAAGCAATTCTTCCTATTCTCTATTACTTTCAGCACAAGAAATTGTCATTTATTCTGCTGTTCTGGCTGTCTGACAGGGCAAAACGGAGGCCAGGGAAATATTCTAGTGAAGAAAGACAAAACTCACTTCAGATGGGATTTTTACTTCTATCCGTGTCAATAGATCTCATTAGCTCTCAACACTCAGGTCAGACAGTGCTGTAAAAGGCTATCGTCTGAGAAACCACCAATTCTCTCAGTTGTTACAAAGCTTAAGTCATTGTTTCACCATGACACAGACACAAATTCTGGCTAAAAACAGTTTTAGGTCAGACAGAATGGGTCTTGCCAGATACCTGTAGAACAAACTAAAGCACTTTCCAGAAACAATTCTAGAGCTAATATAAATTAAGAAATGGCAATGTGTTCTAAAAAAGGTCAAGCTTCTTTGATCCTTACCGCTTCTCTTCTCAAAAGCGGAGCTGACAAACAGCAGTGGAGTGTGCACTTCTCCTTCTGAAGAACCACCATGACTCCCTGTTTCAGACATCCCATGATCCCCACAAACCACTAGTAAATTGGGCAGAGAGGCTTCTTCCTGCAAGTCACAGAAATAAATTTAAGTTACTGTACAAACAATATGCATACATATTATGCTTCACTATCACTTTCACACATGAATTATTTCTCAAAATAAATTCAATTTTTTAAAGTGGCTCACAACACCTGAACCAAATTACAAGAGACTTCTGCACCTAAATGCTGGTCATTTAAAACCATTAAGGCACACAGATGTATCTAACATACTTTTCAATATGTTACAAAACCCACAGAAAAGCTTTAAAAACACAGAGTCACAAGAAACTGATAGAAAGACTAAATAAACGTCATCATGGGACGCAAATCAGGAGTCCAGGAATAGTAACACTAACAAAGAAGTATTTCCCTCCTCCATTTCTTCAGCTTCACTGAGTTTTTTATATAAATGCTAACTTATTAATACTGCAAATATAAATATAATAGACACAATGTAAGACTACTTCTAATAGTTCCTAGGGTCTCAAGTGCTTTTGGGGTAGGAATCTGACATGACTGATATCAAATGACATTTATTCTTCTGGAGAAACAGAAGCAGAAGTGAGGCCTGTCCAACAACTCTAACAAATAAAGATATCAGAAAATAAATACTGTCATTCCATAATCAATCAGCTTTTTGTCATGTCTGGCTATTACTGGTACCTGATGTATGCAAAAGTAAAGTGCTTTTACTACTTCTGTATACTAAAATGGAGAAAAAGGCTTGCATATAGGTGGCAAAAGAAAAACATACTAACAAACTGTGGCAAAACCACTGCAGTGCTCATGAGATTATAACTTCCACAAGTAGGATTTAACCTCTCTTCTCATACAATAGTATCCCTTTGTCTAAAAATAGTATTGAAATTTCAACAAACAGCTATTCTGAATCGCAGTTGCCAAAAACAAACAAGAAAAAAGCTTCAGGCCACTTGGAATTAGGACTTAGCATTTCAATATCCGGACTATTTAGATAGGTCCAAATCTAAAAACAAATCCAGATTTGGTAATTTATGTCCTACATTTAGCATAAGGAAAATGCTGTTTACAACCACCAGTTCCAAATGAATCTTTCCAAAATCTAAGAATCAGGTATGCCTTCACCATTGTAGAAATCAGAGCCATTAGCTACATATGCTCATTACTCCTTCAGCTGAATTTCACTACTAAAAGGCACATCGACCCGCATTTTAATTTATGAGTGGTAAAATTTTGCATGCATTCCTCTCCTCTTCCTGCACACCAAGAGGGAGTTCTTTTCCACAACTGTTCAGAAGAGACTGTTAACAGATATTACTAAGGTCAGCCAGTAATTCCTTAAAAATGCTAGACTGTAATATTCACTGAGGAATGGCCAGGGAAGGAAAAGAACAGAACGATACCCGCTTTGGTCTAGGAATAAACAAACCACCACTCATAAACAAGCAAGTATTTTAACATTAGCCCACAACTAGCAGACATTGATTCAGGAAGGAGCTGTATTACCTTTGAAAGAAGAGATGTATGAATCTTCTTCAAGATGTTATCCATTTCACGAAGTTTTGGTCCCACTAAGGGGCTGTTTGGCCCAGTCATGTGTCCGATGTGGTCCAACCCCAGGTAATGTAGTATTAGGAGATCCCAGTCTTCTCTTTTTAACACTCTATCCAAATGCCTGGTAACATTATCATCAACCTCAGAAGTAAAAGGAAAACAAAAGGTAAAAACAATTTCCTTCTTGTAAAAAGCAGAAAAATTAGACAGCACTATCCATGAAAAATCTGTAGAAGCTGAATTCCAGTCACAATGTTAACAAGAACCAAAAAAAGCATTTAAGAAAAAAAAAAATCAGATGGATTAATTCAATGTCACGTAGTCAAAAATTCTGTCTTAGATTACTCACTCTGTTTCACTCTTTTCTGGTTACGAGACATCACATTACATACAACAGAGAAAACTGGTTGTAATGCTTCCACAGATACTTTTGAAAACTGTTTCGAGAAATTTTTTGTCATTTCTATCCTTCACATTCCTGATTTATCACTTGACAAAAAGTAGGTACCAGGAAAAGCTTCTCTCTTTGGTGCTTGGAAACACAGAGTTAAAAAAAAAAAACACTCTGCTTTTTAAACTCAATTTTTGCTACTGTGCAAATACAAAAAGATTGTAGAAAGAATAACAACACAGCAAGAAAGAAAAATTATTTGAGAAGTGCTATTTGGAGCACAACTCACATGTTAGGTTGGAAACCTATTTTTAGTTGCATATATTTCTCCCTGGATATTAAAAATCCTTTCAAAATTTCACATGCTATGCTGCTTTGTCGACTCTGGATATAACTATGCAAAAAAATATTTTAAAAATTCTGTTTAATGGACAGGAAGCATAAAGACTGCATAAAGAGCTTGAAAGTCATATAATTGCAGGCCCAGCAGCATGCTTCCAGATTTCCATTCCACAAAGAAACTTCTGCAAGTCTTAGAGGTAACCAACTAAAAGTTTCTTCCAATTCACACACTAGACTTACTTAATTTCCTTAAACACAATAGCAATATTCTTGAGTCAGTAGCAGAAGGTCAAAGGCCTGGTCTTACAAATCGTAAAGGTTCAAAATATGAACTGAAATTGCCAAACCACTTCTTTTTGATGTGTCCAGAATAAGGTTTTTCACAATTAACTTCATTTACTTTCTATGCACCCTCTTTGATAACATACTGAAACACTACTCACATTGCAACTACAAAAGCAATACAATACTATAAAAGTATGTCTCTAACAGATGAAGATTATATATTAATGGGCCTTTTAAAGATGGCACATATAATGTGATAGCAAACTGGAAACATGGATAACGGAATGTTAAACTAATTTAAATTGACTAATATGGTGGCCTTGTTGGACAAAGCTACAGCGCTGCTTCACATGGGAAAAGCAACTGATGTCATTTTCCT